CCTCTTAAAACCTTTTCTGCAGTCCTCTGGTGTCACTGTGGATGCGAGGGGGACGATCAGACAGAGAAGCTTTCTTTGCTTCCTTTCATACTTGTCCAGATTGAATTTGTGGGAAAAGAGAGAAACTGGCGGGAGGGAAAGAAGCTCTGACTAGCCAGCATGTGTTTTAAATATGTGTCTCTTCAGTTGTACACTGATGCTTAAAGGAGAGGGACGTCTATTTGGCTGCAACACCAAAAGACTGTCATAAACCAATAAACACCCCCACCCGTGCGCGCACGCACGCACACACACACGATGAGTGCATTCATTAGAGGCGTCATCATCCGTCCATTAAAAGCTTGCAGTTCCTGTGTTTGTCTCTGCACCAAATGACTGTGATAAACACAGAGTCTGATGAGAGCTGCACGATCTGGATTTCCGCTCCAGATTCTCACATGATGTACAAACAGCTGTAATAATGCACTTATAATAAAGTTGTAGTAGTAACGCCCTCTGGTTGCTGTTCATGCTAAAGACGTTGCAATAGTTCAAAGATGGGAGATTCAGTGACTGTGTACAACTGTGTCAGATTTCTTTCTATTCTGGTGATAAACTAGTCGAATTAGAATTTGTTAAGTCACATTATTTGAGTTTCAATAATTGCTGCCTTTACTGCCTCACTCGTGGTAGTGGCCCACATTTTTTGAAGTAAGGTCAAAGGTCTTCCTCACCACCATTCTTATTTTTATTTTTATTCTTGGATAAGCCATTAAAACGTGCATGTTTATGTTGCAGATTTTCTGGTATTTATTCATTTTTGAAAACTTTACAACCCATTATGAAGTCCCCATAGGCGTCTATCTTTGCCTGATTTTTCTCCTCAAAACAATCACAATTGAAAGATGTCAAATCTGTTTAAAACACTGCCATGTGTAAACACAGAAAGCCCATATGAGCACGGTAGCTTTGGACCTAGTTATGAAAGTGACACATTTTGCAATGACACTGCAGCATCACTGGTAAAATCAATCAAGCGACATCAGTAGCAGCCATAGCTTAGTCACTGTAATCCAGTAGGGTAGTAATCCTGGAGCTAGCAGCTGGGTAACACATTTTAACACCCCTGTTAAGAATGTATAAACAGTTCATTCAAACAGCTAAAAGCAGAAACCTCTGCTTTCTGAAATCCTTCTGTATGATATGATATGTGGTCAGTCATTCAGTAACTGTTTATGTTATAAATTCATAAGAAGATGTTACAAGTTTAAAGCCTAAAAATGCCCATGTACTTACAGCTACCTGTCTACACACCATAAAGCTGTTGTGATTTACTGATTTTGAAAAATTCACTAATGAACTTTAACAAATCATCTTATCTCAGCTTATGACTACATATAATTGATCCATGTGTTATGGATGATTATGACCAGGTTACACAACAGTGATATGTGTGGAGTGGAAGCAGTGTAAACAGCCTACAAAGAGGTAGAGCTGTGATGGGAAACACATTCTCAGCACAACCTCCCTCCTTCACCCTGCTGTGCCAGCTCCCAGCCAATGAGGCTTCAGCATTTAAGCAGATTTAGGCTCAGGCCCCAACAAAGCCATCCCATAAACCATCTGCGGACTTACAGCAGATGATTGTGATGCTTCTCTAAGGTCTAGCAGGGTCGGAGCTTCATTAAATCCAGAAGCCCTGCGCTCTGCTGCAGGCCTCCCTCCAGCCTCCACCCGATGTCCCTGGGACAGCGCTAGCAGCGAGCTGCTTCACCCCACTATGTATGTATGTGTGTGTGTGTGTGTGTGTTTGGGGGAGGGTGGGGTGACCCAAAGCACAGTAAATCTAATAGAGTGCTGTGAGCAGGAGCCTCACAGAACAACACACGTTCACATCAGGTTACAGAGGTGTAGTTATGGAGGCAGAGGAGCACCAGGGAGACATCACGGTCACATCAAAAGGAGCAGGAAGAATCAGGAGCAGCAGTATTGTTATTATGGGTAAAGGGAGAGAGAGTAGTAATTCCACATGTTGTAAGAATGGGCCAGTCAACGAAGCACTTGTATTTGTAGCACAAAGAAGAACATTTAATACCTGCACAAACCTTTCCTCCTTTATACGCCAGTTTAGGAACAAGTTTAGGAAGTAAGAGTAAGCAGTCATGACTAGTGACAAATTATAAGTCAGCCACATTCTGTGCATAGAACAGAAAGATCTTTAAAGAGCTTTAAAGGTCCATGCATAAAAATTAAAATGCATCATCTGTCTGTAATATGATCTGGATTGTACACCAATAAAAACCTGGACAGAATGATTCTAATAAAACTCCTCCAGTATGCAACTCACTGGTCTGGAGTCAGTTGTTGGAGGTGGCCATGTTGCTGAAATTGGCAGCCAAACACCAAAACACAATCTACTGACACCCCACCACCACCACCCCACTCCCCAGCTCCATCCTCCCTTTCTCTGTTAGGTTTCCCAGTGGAAGGCAATGAGCCAGTGAGGCAATGGAAAAATCCAGATTGGCTCATTGTGCAGTGATTTAGCCGTGTAGCTAAAATAGGTGCAGGTCTCATCATTTCGGAGATATTTTCAGAAACTAAATGGGCTGCACAAGACAAACCACGGACTGCTGCTGCTGCTGGCAAAATTCATATTTCAACCCAGGCGAAAGTGGCCAAGCCAGTATGTCTTCACTTTATCCCCTCATATTAAAACAGAGTCTACAGATAATAAGCAGCTTCAGTGTGGATGTTAGAGTGCAGCAGCTCTCCCCTGTCTCCCACACTGTGCTGCTTTACACAGCACAGCTTCTATAATTCATCAAGCAGCAGAGAATATCATTCATATTCATAAATTTTCTCAAAGAGAGTTATGGGCCCGTTGATACAAACGGCTGTATGGATGGGATCACATCAGCCATTCTGGACTCATTAACAGTTGGACAGGAAGCCTAATGCTGCAGCCTGCTCTGCACATGTTACAGCTGCCTCTGACTGGCCACAGAGAAAATAACATCAAATACAGGAATAGTAACAGTGTGGCCACATGTTAGGACGGAGTGAGAATAAATTCATTTAGCACCAAACAGGCCTACAGCAGTAATGGTATGTGCTAGTTGGGCCGAACGACTGTCTGGTCAGAAAAAAACAGCAACAGCCTAAAAATGACATATAAAAATAATGACAGTGTGGGCACATGTCATGGCCTCAGAGCTCAAATCTACAGCAACATGCACAACAATACAACAGGAATGACAATATGAGCAATTGTTAAAGCAAAATATAATAAAGCAAAAGCTAATGAAATTGCTCAAAACTTCAAATCCACTTACTAGCTTCTTCCACGGATCTTCTTAGAGTCACAGAACTTGAAGAAGACAATGAGATGCAGATGAAAGCTGATGAAAAAGCTAGTAAGTGATCTTTCTTTCTTTCTTTTTGGTCAAACTAATATAAACAAACAAATAAAATAATGGACACTCTAGCAATGTGTGTGCAAACTTTATAATTTATTATGTTTTTTAAATTTATAACAATTGTAGCTTTTTTATTAATGGTAAACAAAATTTGAAAAAGTTGTTAATTTAAAACGAAAGATTAAAAATATAAATATTGAGAAAAAAACATTTAAAAATCCCCCAAATTCCATCCAGCAGCAACAACAACAACAACAACAACACCAAAATAATAACCTTGGTGCTACAGTTCAAATAATGAGGGGCAAACAACAGGAAACCCAAACAGGAGCCGGTAACTCCACTATTTCCCTACTCAAGCTCCTGATGAACATTGGAGCTTGTAGCACAGAGACTCATATTATCTGCTTGGCGCGTCTCGCCCCTGTTGGCCCGTTAGGCTACTTTGAAACCGGTTAAGGCAGCAGCACATACACAAACCGATCGCTCCGTTTCGTCCAAACGATTCCCATCCATCTGCATTCACAGTAGTTGTGTTTCAGAGCCACAAATCTCAGACACCATTGATTTCTTGCAGCGAGGCTCCCTGCATTTATTTCTTCTGTAATTGTAAAACCACAAGTGGACTCCGCCGGACAGAACAGGCCGCCAGGGTTTGCTAGATTTGTTTTATTTTATTTTGCTTTAGAAAAGAATCTGATAGGATTTCTCCCTTTGGGCCAATAAAGCTCCAGCAGCTTTCTCTCCTTGTGTTCCTCCTCCTCTTCTTCTTCTTTGTCACGTCAGTTGTTTTGCACACTTCCTATTTTCAAACACGGAAACAAACAGCACGAGATGAGCAGGATGTGCCGCGCGCACCGGGGCTCTCCAGCTCTCTGGTAAAGAAGCAGGGAGGAGGGGGTGGGCTAGTGATGAGGGATGCGGGATGCGGGATGCGGGAGCGGATGCATACGGGCTGGAAGGAGCCGCCGCCGACTGTCGTAAAAACAAAACAGAAGAAGACGGAAAAGAAGAGGAGAGGAGAGAGAAAGAGGATTCAATGTGGCGCAATAAAAGAATATGACGGCAATAAAAGTTTATAGCGTATAAATTTCTGAAGGTTAAGAACTAAACGGCTGTAAAGCAAACACGCCAAGAGAAAGAGAAGGGGGAGCGAGAAAAGACACGCAGAGAGGAGATATTAGAGGAGCAGTTACAAATAGCTTCTAGATATGAGACTTGTTGGACGTGAGAAAGGCGGCGGGGTGATGGAAAGGCCTGCGCACACGGAGGGGATTCGTTTAGAGATGGAAAACGAACATTGCTGGGATTCTGCTCAC